CCACAGAATCATGGAATGGTTTGGGTTGGAAGGGACCTGGAAAAACCAACTTGAGGATGAGGGGAGAGGCAAGTCTGGAACGCAGAAATAGAGAGGAAACAGAATCATGGAATGGTTTGGGTTGGAAGGGACCTTAGGGATCATCTCACTGCAAATCCCACAGGCACGGACACCTTCCACCATCCCAGCCCTGTCCAAGATGTCCCTGGACACTTCCAGGAATGAGGCAGCCAGAAATTCCCTGGAAAAGCCGCGTCAGGCCCTGCCCGCCCTCGCTCCCTCATGCCCAGAGCCAACCCCTTCATCACGGAAACGGACGGGCACAATTTGCTTTTGGTGACTCTGAGCTGGCTCTTCCCATCACCTGCTCGTGCTTCACCTGGAAATGCTCCTGACGGGCAGCAGGAGGGGAGGGTCAGAGCGGTGCCATCACCGCTCCTGACTCACAGGTCACCCTGCAGAGGGTGAATAAGTCCTTTATTATCTGGCTCACACAGCCAAAGTGGGGCTTAGGCCGTCTCAGTCTTTTATGTGCCCCGCTGGGGACTGATGTTATAATTAAAAGATGCTTATCAGAAATGGTGAGTCAAGCAGAACATGCCAGGCACTGGGAACAGCATCCAAATGGAGGAGATGTTTTGCCAATAAATAATTTAATCCTCGTTCCTGCTGCGTGTTTCACGTTCAGGGGAACACTAGGAGCTCTATAAAAGCCCTCGGCCCCTTGGCCTCTCACATTCTGCTCCCCTGGGCAGTGCCTGTCTTCATTTGAGACCTGGTGAGGCTCATCCCTTCTTGGATGGGGGTCTGGATTTGGGAGGTCACACCTGGACCTTCAGACCACGCTCTGCCACGGGAGAAGCTCTTGAGGGATCTGGGGTGGGATTTACAGCGGTGCCACCACATGGTGGTGGTGCCTAGTGGTTGGTTTTGTTCTTGGAGTTGAAAAATTGGAAAGGGAAGGTCAGAAAGGGGGTTTGGATGCAATTTGGACGCAATCTGATCAGCGCTGGGCAACTGCAGGAATTTCCTTGGATCCAGGCTCTCAGGATAAACCCCAAGGCAAATTAAACAGAACCAGAGGAGGCGCTGACACCAACCCATCTCTCTTCCAGGTTTTTCCCCACAGCCCCGACATGATTTACTCCTCAGGACGAGAATCCTTCTTCAACCTCAACTCCACCTGGTACGACCCCTCGGGCTCCTGGCTGGACACGCGGCGCACGCCCTTCCGCTATGGCTACGCCACCTGCTGCTCCTCGGGCTGCCACGGCGAGGGCGTGGAGGGCATGAGGGGCCACAACTACCGCCACTACGGCTACCGGCAGCCCCGCTGCGCCGAGCGCTGCCAGGGCTACTCCAGCTCCTCGGGCTCGTGCCACGGAGGGGGGGCCAGCTGCGTCAGGAGGCCCACGTACAGCTACGGGGGTTCAGGGGGGTGTCAGGGCTACGGGAGGTCCGTGTGCTCCGAGAGGTGCCAGGGCTCCTCGGGCTCGTGCCACGGAGGGGGGGCCAGCTGCGTCAGGAGGCCCACGTACAGCTACGGGGGTTCAGGGGGGTGTCAGGGCTACGGGAGGTCCGTGTGCTCCGAGAGGTGCCACGGGCCAGTGGCCCAGGGTGGAAAGCCGTGCTGTGGGACGCCCGTGCAGAGCGTCCCAGTGCAGAGCTGTCCCCCGCCAGTGCAGAGCATCCCAGTGCAGAGCTGTCCCCCCAAAGTGCAGAGCATCCCAGTGCAGAGCTGTCCTCCTCCAGTCCAGACCTGTCCCTGTCCCTGTCCCCCCCCAGTCCAGACCTGTCCCCCTCCAGTCCAGGTCTGTCCCTGTCCTTGTCCCCCTCCGGTCCAGCAGGGCTGTGTGCCCGTGGCCAAGGGCATCCCCCGCCAGCAGCAGAAGCAGGTCTGCAAAGTGCCAGCCCGGAAGATCAAATAAAGGACGTGAGGAGCGAGGGGAAACAAAGGGAATTGTCCCCCCCTCTCCTGCGTTGTCACCCATCTCTGCTCTGTCCCTCTGCTTGTAACGCGCTCTGAAGTTGTGACCCACTGATGCTGTGAAATTTAAAATGCTTTTCACCTCATTTCACAGCAGATGTGGAGGCAATAAAAAATGCTGGCTCAAACTCTCCTGGCATCCGCGTTTTTATCTCCTCACCCCTCTGAGTGGCTTCTGGTCCTTCTGGTGGCCAGAGCTGGGTTTGCAGCGGGCTCAAAAAGAGGCTCCGGGTTGGTTCCACCTGGTGGCTCCTCGTTCCCATTCCAGGCAATTTCCTTGTTGGAAAAGTAACAGTTTTCATCACAAAGTGTTTATGCAACGGGGTTATTAAATATTAATAAAGTTGTGTAAGAAAAATACACATTTTATCAGAGAGGGGAAAAGCTGAGGGTCTGTTGGGACCAAGAGGCAACGGGAACAGCTGGATTGGCACCATAAACCTCCAAAAAAAAGGCCTGGGGAAAAAAGGCAGGAAGATGATTTGGGAATGGCTCCAAAAGCCCCCAAATTCCTGGTGGGGTCTGGGAGGGTTGGGAGAAGAACCCCCTGTGAGGATTTCTGGGGCCAAGCAGGGATGTGGAGCCGCTGTGAGTCACGGCACCGCGTGCTCGGAGCTCCTGGCACCTCCCCAGCCCAAGTGAGGGCCTCCATCCCCTCCTGGCGTCAGGACGTGGCACACAGCACCATGAGCCGCTCCCCAGGGTGGGGATTTCTCCTGCAGGAAAAGGGAAATAAGCAAAAGCAGGTGTAAGGTAGGGGTTTTAGGGTGGACACTGACACCGACACCACCCCAAGCCTCCCTTGACAACTCTGCAAAGGCAATTCTTTCATAGAACCAACAAACGACCCAAAAAAAAGCCATTTCCCACTCAGAATGGTATCCATGGATCCAGGGATGCCTAAGGAACAGGAGCTTTGTAGGGGATACAGAGAGCAGATGTAGGGTCAGCACAGTCCTGCCCCATACTTGGGTCCAGGTCCCCCCGGGCCTTGCTCAGGTGTTTGTCTCCATCGCTGAGACAAACGATGGAACAGGTTTATCCCAATCACGGAATCAGGGCTGTAATTAATCATGAATAATGAGTTTCACAAGGATTTCTATTCTCCCAATGTTTGTGAAATATCCCGAGTTGTGTTCGGATTTCCTCATCTATCAGTTACAGTGATTCAGCTCCAATGGGGACCAAGGAGTCTCCTGGACTCTGTGTTTGATTTTTATTCAATCCAGGCTGGTTTTAATATCACAGTGGCCTCTGGAGTCCTGCAGGAGATCAGGCCTGAAAGACATTTTTGTCCCCAAAGCAGAGTGTTGAAGACGCAGATCCCGATGTTCTCCCGCTCCTACCAGGATGTTTCCCACATCATACAGGGCTTTAAATTCCTTCTGTTTGGGTTGAAATCCTTTAAGTAAAGAAAGGGCTGGCTTGGAAAATCGCAGCACTGCTTTTAGTGCTTCTTTGCTGAATTTATTCACGATTTTTGGTGTTTCTTTGATGCTGTGCCCTGTCCAATTATGTTTATTTCTACTACCCACCACCACAGCCTTTTTTGTTCCTTTTTCTTTTATTTCTGGGTTTCTTTTATAACTCCACAGTCCCACCTTCCCAGCCTCTAACACTGTCCCATCTCAGTTCAGAATTGGTTACAAGGAACAGAAAAATGCCACAATCAAAGGTGACAAAAACCATCCCAAACTCTCCCAGCTCCGCACCCCGCTGGGCCAGGCGTGGTGGGCAATTAACATTTTTATGGAGTAACTAGAGGGATGTCAGGATATTGATCTGCTCCATGTGTCAAAACAGCAGAGCAAAAACTCCCAATTAGCCAAGTGCTCGGGGTGCTGAGCAATCAGGTCCCTCCAGTGGGGCCCCAGCTCGTTTCCGGAGGAGAAGCCCAAGCCAGGCTTTAAAAGCCCTCGCTCCGCGTTTCTCCTCAGCCTCTCAGCTCCTCAGTGTCTCCTCTCGAGCTCCTTCTGATCCAGGTGAGTCCAGATCCATCAGATTTTTACTCTCCTAATGCTCTCCAGCTTCTCCCCAATCCTGATCTCTTGGGGACTTCTCTTCCATGTCCTATCTCCATTTCAATCCTTCTGCCGAGTCAGAAAACGTAAAAATTCCTGGCTCGGAATTTATTCACGATTTTTGGTGTTTCTTTGATGCTGTGCCCTGTCCAATTATGTTTATTTCTACTACCCACCACCACAGCCTTTTTTGTTCCTTTTTCTTTTATTTCTGGGTTTCTTTTATAACTCCACAGTCCCACCTTCCCAGCCTCTAACACTGTCCCATCTCAGTTCAGAATTGGTTACAAGGAACAGAAAAATGCCACAATCAAAGGTGACAAAAACCATCCCAAACTCTCCCAGCTCCGCACCCCGCTGGGCCAGGCGTGGTGGGCAATTAACATTTTTATGGAGTAACTAGAGGGATGTCAGGATATCGATCTGCTCCATGTGTCAAAACAGCAGAGCAAAAACTCCCAATTAGCCAAGTGCTCGGGGTGCTGAGCAATCAGGTCCCTCCAGTGGGGCCCCAGCTCGTTTCCGGAGGAGAAGCCCAAGCCAGGCTTTAAAAGCCCTCGCTCCGCGTTTCTCCTCAGCCTCTCAGCTCCTCAGTGTCTCCTCTCGAGCTCCTTCTGATCCAGGTGAGTCCAGATCCATCAGATTTTTACTCTCCTAATGCTCTCCAGCTTCTCCCCAATCCTGATCTCTTGGGGACTTCTCTTCCACGTCTCATCTCCATCTCAGTCCTTCTGCCGAGTCAGAAAATGTAAAAATTCCTGGCTCAGGTGGCAGAGGGTTCTGCAGGTCTTGCTCTGGAGTCTGTCCAGCTCTTCTCTTTTCACTTCTCTCTGATGTACAAGACCAAGGGTCGCCCAAAGGGGCCACCACGAGCAGACGTGTGGGAGAGGTTTTACAGTCGCTGTAAAACCTCTCCCACAGCCTTGGACACTTCCAGTGTCCCTGCTCACTGCCTTCACTCACGGATGAGTTTTCCCAGCAGGTCTCCCACCATGTGCTCCCGCCAGGACAAGGACCAGTGCCACCAGCAGGAACGCTCCTGCTGCCACAGCGGCGGGTCCAGTTGCCACGGGAGCAGTGGCGGATCTGGTTGCCATGGAAGCAGTGGCGGATCCAGTTGCCAAAGGAGCAGTGGCGGATCTGGCTGCCATGGGAGCAGCGGATCCGGTTGCCACAGCAGCAGTGGATCTGGTTGCCACGGGAGCAGTGGTGGATCTGGTTGCCACAGGAGCAGCGGATCTGGTTGCCATGTGACCAGTGGATCAGGCTGCCATGGGAGCAGCGGATCTGGTTGCCACGGCAGCAGCGGGGGATCCTGCCATGGAAAGCAGCAGGAGTGCCAGCAGCAAATCTACCAAGTGTCCTCAAATATGAAGTGATCACCCCACCAGGTGCAGGTGATCCACAGGAATGCCCTGGATCCTGTGCCATGCTCCAAAAGCTTTGCATGTGCCCAGCAATTTCTAAGGACAATGTGTCCTTCCCTCCCCTGGTGTGTCCTGTAACCTGCCCTGAGCTTCTCTGTGGGTGCTGAAATAAATGCTTTGTTCACGCTGGCACAATTGTGTCTGGATCAGTCTGTGACTTCATTTGAGCCACTACATTCCATAATTTCTGAGAGGTTTAAGTCCTTCTTTTTTGCCATTTGGCCCCAAAACTCCACCCCTAGGGGAGGTACCTCCACGTGCTGGTGGCAAACCCCCAGCCAGCCTTTCTAGAAATGCTGTGCCCAGCCCTGCCAGAGCTCTGGGTCGTGGCAGGGGCGTTGCTCCATCGTTACACAATGGGCTGCTAAATTTCATCTCAGGGGATCCTGCCATGGAAAGCAGCAGGAGTGCCAGCAGCAAATCTACCAAGTGTCCTCAAATATGAAGTGATCACCCCACCAGGTGCAGGTGATCCACAGGAATGCCCTGGATCCTGTGCCATGCTCCGAAAGCTTTGCATGTGCCCAGCAATTTCCAAGGACAATGTGTCCTTCCCTCCCCTGGTGTGTCCTGTAACCTGCCCTGAGCTTCTCTGTGGGTGCTGAAATAAATGCTTTGTTCACGCTGGCACAATTGTGTCTGGATCAGTCTGTGACTTCATTTGAGCCACTACATTCCATAATTTCTGAGAGGTTTAAGTCCTATGGACAAAGAACCCCTTTTTTTTTTTTGCCATTTGGCCCCAAAACTCCGCCCCTGGGGGAGGTGCCTCCACGTGCTGGTGGCAAACCCCCAGCCAGCCTTTCTAGAAATGCTGTGCCCAGCCCTGCCAGAGCTCTGGGTCGTGGCAGGGGCGTTGCTCCATCGTTACACAATGGGCTGCTAAATTTCATCTCAGCTTCTAATTAAAACGAATTGGGTAATTTATTGCTCTGGTATTGCCATTCATGAAATGGATGTTACTGCGATAAGATTGTTCTCGAGTGCGTCAGGAGGATCAGAAATTTCTGGCATTGCTGAAAAGGGTGCAGGCAGTGGCTCACTCCCTGTTTTTGGAGTAGGGATGGCCTGGGAAGGCTCCTTGTCTGAATCTGGGGTTTGCCTTGAGCCCCCCAGTTCAAAACCCATTTTCAAGGCACATCAAGGTGGCTAACAACAAAATGTAGAGGTGCCCATTTTTAACAAACTCAGAGCAATTAAAACATGAGGAAATGAACACAGGGAGATGCCCAGAGCCAAAAATTCCTTCGAGTGGGCTTTTTTTTTTTTTTCCCCAGAGGTCATTGACCACATTTCTGCTGAGGCCAGAACAAAACCCAGTTGAAGAGCAGCAACCAAACCCAGGCACAGTTTGTCCTGACACTGTTCTAGATCATGGCAGAAGTTTAGCAATACAAAAGAAGCTTCAGGTTGCTCACCTGGTTCCTCCACCTGCCCTGTCCTCCCACCTTTCCCAAAATCCTCTGTTTTGGGTGCCAGCAAATGTGGATGGGGTTTGGATGGCAGGAACCCCTCAGTCTCCATCTCCATAAAATCAATGTGGACAAAGACAATCAAAGGCAGGAGAGCTTGGGAGGAAGGGAAGTATTTTTCACCCAGTGTTTTCCAAGTTTTTTTACAACAACAAAACCACAGCAGCTCCCAGATGGGAAAATCTGGATTTCAGCCTTTTTTCACTTCCAGTTTAATGATTGCAACGTCTTCCATAAGCAGTGACAGCAAGAGCCAAACAAGCTCCATGGTCCTAAAGAATTCCCAGCCCACGCAGCAGAAAGGTACAGGGAGTATCCCAAATTATTGCCTCTCATGAGCTCTCCGTGTGGGGCTGTGCATCCGGGATTTGCTGGCCAATTAGGAGTTAATTGGGGATCAGGGAAAATGCAAAGAGGGTGTTCCTGCAGCTCTGGAGAAAGTCCCGGGGGGTCTGCCAGTTGCCCATAACTGTGTGTGGCCGAGGGCTCCTGTGGGATTCTTCTTCTTCCTCCTCCTCCTCCTCCTCCTCCTCCAGCCGCACCAGGGCCACTCACCTGGAATAAAACCATGGCACGGTTGCTCCGGAATTGTTCCCAGGCTGAGACTCAACCACATAATTAAGCACCTTGCTAATCCTGGATCACTACCCAGGGCAGGGCTTATTCCTTCCAAAAATAAGAATTCCAGCTGCCTGTGGAATTTTTGGCAGGAAACCTTGGAGTTACTTCATCGCCCCACCGTGTTTTGGCGAGTTCTATGAGGAACCAGTCAACGGTGGTTCCAGGCAAATCCCAAAATCCCCAAGGTTGGAAAAGACCTCACGGCCATCGAGTCCAAACTGTGCCAAATCCCCACCTTGTCCCCAGTCCAGAGGGTCACAGCCAGGCCTTCCTTGGACACCTCCAGGGATGGCGACTCCAAACCTTTTCCAAGGCCTGGCCGCCCTTCCCAGGAAAAAATTCCTCCTGATTCCCACCTGAGCCTCCCATGAGGGAGTTGTGCAGAGCCAGAAATTCCCCATGAGCCCCCTTTTCCCCAGACTGGGCCCCCCCCAGTTCCCTCAGGAGTTCTCCAGCCCCTTCCCCAGCTCAGTTCCCTTCTCTGGACCCACTCCAGCCCCTCTTGCCATGCAGAGAAGTGAACACAGCTCTGGACATTCCCCTCACCATGCCCAGCACGGAGGGAATTCCTGCTAAAGCAGAGTTTTCTCCTTTCCCAAAGCTGTTTTTGGCACTTTGGGGCCCATCTCAGCTTTTAGGGGAGTTGCAGGCCCAGAGAACCTCAGGACATTCTGGAGGGATGTTGTGGTTTGGGGATGAGACATCATCTCCCCCTGAACCCAAAGAACTCCCGGGGTGTGATCAACACCAAACCTGACCTGGGGAAACCGGGGCCACCCACACGGCTCCCCCAGCCCGGCCCAGCACAGGCAGAGCCGGCAATTAAAGTTCTGTGGACAGGAAAGGCGACCTATAAGGAGAGGCAATCCCAGCGTGGATCAGGTGAGTCACCCCAGGAGCCCGAGAAATGGGGAGGCAAAAAAATAAAAAAAAAAGCCACCGGCGAATTAAATGAACGGGACAGGGAGGGGCTTCTCCAGGTGGGGTGTGCGGAGAGGGTATAAAAGTGCTGCTGTCCCCAAAAGCCTCATTCCCCTCATCCTTCCTCATCTCTTCCTGCACGAGCAGCTCAGGTAAGAGCTGGGGGGCTCCAGAATACTCAGGGGGTGAGTTTGGATCTCCATACCTGGAACGGGGCTGGGATTTGTTCTGGGGTGGGTAAGGAGAGAGCCCAGGGGTTCAGAGGGAGCAGAGGGAGGGTTTGGAGTCTTGGCTCTGGTTTTGGAAAGCCAGGCATGGCCTGGGTGTCCCCAATGTCTTTGGTGGGACACTGCCAGGGGAGAAAAAGACCCAGAGCAAGCTTCAAAAAGAAATGTGGGATCTGGCTGAGCCTGGGAAAAGGAACACCCAGATTCCTCTTGCCTGGAAGGGCAGGAGGAAGGAAAGAAGGAAGGAAAAGCCCCTGCCAGCTGCTGTGTCCCCACAGGTGACCCAGCACAGCGCCATGTGCTCCCGCCAGGAGAAGGACCAGTGCCACCGGCAGCAGCGCCAGAGCAGCGGCGGCTGCCACAGCTCGGGGGGTGGCGGCTGTCACAGCTCAGGAGGTGGCGGCTGTCACAGCTCCGGTGGCAGCTCTGGGGGCTGTCACAGCTCCGGTGGTGGCGGCTGTCACAGCTCCGGCGGTGGCGGCTGTCACAGCTCGGGCGGTGGCGGCTGTCACAGCTCCGGTGGCTCCGGCTGCCATGGGAAGCCGCAGATGCAGGGCCAGCAGCAACAGCAGCAGCAGCAGGTGCTGCAGATGCCGCAGCAGAAGATGAAGTGACAGCGTGGCCCTCGCCTTGTCACAGCTCCGGCAGCGAAGGCCACACGGGGACCGGCTCCCTGTCACCTCCCCGGGGCTCCCGAAGCCTCCCCGGTGCCCTCCGGAGCCTGGCAAGGGCTGGGCTGTGCCCAATAAAGAGTCACATTCCCTAAATCCCTCTGGTGTTGGTGTTTCCTTAAACTCCAGAGCCTGGGAGGCTGCCCAGGATGGGGTTTTGGGGCTGGGAGGATCTCCAGAGCCAGGGACACGGCCCAGGATGGGGTTTTGGGGCTGGGAGGTTCTCCAGAGCCAGGGACACAGCCCAGGATGGGGTTTTGGGGCTGGGAGGTTCTCCAATCAGGTGCTGCAGATGCCGCAGCAGAAGATGAAGTGACAGCGTGGCCCTCGCCTTGTCACAGCTCCGGCAGCGAAGGCCACACGGGGACCGGCTCCCTGTCACCTCCCCGGGGCTCCCGAAGCCTCCCCGGTGCCCTCCGGAGCCTGGCAAGGGCTGGGCTGTGCCCAATAAAGAGTCACATTCCCTAAATCCCTCTGGTGTTGGTGTTTCCTTAAACTCCAGAGCCTGGGAGGCTGCCCAGGATGGGGTTTTGGGGCTGGGAGGTTCTCCAGAGTCAGGGACACAGCCCAGGATGGGATTTTGGGGCTGGGATGTTCTCCAGAGTCAGGGACACAGCCCAGGATGGGGTTTTGGGTCTGAAATGTTCTCCAGAGCGAGGGACACAGCCCAGGATGGGATTTTGGGGCTGGGAGGTTCTCCAGAGCCAGGGACACAGCCCAGGATGGGATTTTGGGGCTGGGATGTTCTCCAGAGCCAGGGACAAAGCCCAGGATGGGGTTTTGGGGCTGGGAGGTTCTCCAGAGCCAGGGACAAAGCCCAGGATGGGGTTTTATGGTTGGGATCTCCTGGAGAAGAAAAAAAAAAACACTTCCCCCTCTTTTTTACCTGGATCATTCCTGGCTTTATCTAGTGCCAGCTCCAGAGCAGGGATTAAGCTCTGGGAGCTGAAGAAGATGCTATAATTAAACCTGGGCTTAATTTTGTTCTCCAGAGTCAGGGACACAGCCCAGGATGGGGTTTTGGGGCTGAAATGTTCTCCAGAGCCTGGGAGGCTGCCCAGGATGGGGTTTTGGGGCTGGGAGGTTCTCCAGAGCCAGGGACAAAGCCCAGGATGGGGTTTTATGGTTGGGATCTCCTGGAGAAGAAAAAAAAAAACACTTCCCCCTCTTTTTTACCTGGATCATTCCTGGCTTTATCTAGTGCCAGCTCCAGAGCAGGGATTAAGCTCTGGGAGCTGAAGAAGATGCTATAATTAAACCTGGGCTTAATTTCACCAAGCACAAGCAGAGGAATTTTTGGAAAAGCAGCACCCAGGCATTTTCCTACTGCAGGCAGGTGAGGCTGGCAATTGGCAAAGGAAGGAGATAAAAACAGAGTGATAAAAACGGAGTGATAAAAACAGAGTGATAAAAACGGAGCGATAAAAAGAGAGCGATAAAAACAACGATAAAAAAGGAGCGATAGCCATCAAAATGAGTCAGGGAGCTGTAAACACAGGGCAGCCAGTCAGGAGTCGGGGTTGGAGTGACAGATCAATGACACCGAGCTGTCTCATTTCCGGGAAAAAGGAGGGACACCCCCACAGGGCTGCTCCCACCGCGGATCCTCATTCCCTGCTCTCACACTCAGGTAACTCCGGCAGCACAGGCGGATTTTCCTCCTTTGGGGAATCTCCTCCCAGAGGAGGACGCGGAGCTGGGATGGGGATGGGGCTGGGATGCAGGGAGGGAGCTCAGGACCCATCAGGACCAGCTGATGGATTCCTCCATGGTGGAATTACTCCAAATCCCGGGAAGGAGCTCCGGGATCCTGCACAGCAGCGCTGAGGGACAGGGGAGGGGTCAGACTGGGACAGGGACCCAGGGAGAGCTGGGACAATGGGGGTGGTGGCACTCCAGCAGCCCCTGCCAGCTGCTGTGTCCCCACAGGTCACCCAGCACCCCCCGCAGCAAAGGCCAGGTCCCTGTCACCTCCCTGGGGCTCCCAAAACCTCCCCGGGGGTCCCAGAGCCTTCCCAGGGGTCCCAAAGCCTCCCCAGGGTTCCCAAAGCCTCCCTGGTGCTCCCAAAGCCTTCCCGGGGCTCCCAAAGCCTCCCTGGGGGTCCCAAATCCTCCCAGGGGGTTCCAAATCCTCTCCAGGGATCCCAAAGCCTCCCCGGGGGTCCCAGAGCCTTTCCAGGGCTCCCAAAACCACCCCGGGGTCCCAAAGCCTCCCCGGGGGTCCCAGAGCCTTCCCAGGGCTCCCAAAACCACCCCGGGGTCCCAAAGCCTTCCTGAGGGTCCCAGAGATTTTCCAGGGGTCCCAAAGCCTCCCTGGGGGTCCCAAAGACCTTCCTGGGGCTCCCAAAGCCTTCCCAGGGTTCCCAAAACCTCCCTCATTTAATTAAACGCCCTACAGTGCATTTAATCCTGCCTCGGGAGGTTCCTAAAATCCAGGCAGGCACCAGGTTGGACAGTTTTTATTGGGTTTTTGTGGTCTTACAACCGTTTATGTGAGAAAGGGAAAAACAAGCCGGGGGAAAAACGTCTTTGGGATATTTACAGTGCAGAAAGATCTCCCTGAAAACCACAACGAGCCCCCTCAGCCAGAGCTGAAGGATTGCCTGCAGCTGAGGTTCATTTTTGGTGTGTCCACCCGCCCAAAAACCCATGGGAATTTTGCTGTTGACTCCAAATGAGCTGGAGATGAGCTCTCAACGATGAACTTTTAATTTTCCCCCACGAATTGCCACTCTGGGTTCGTTATTGTTGTACAGGCTGACTCAAATAATTACCCTGCTCATCCCAGCCCTATTAACAAGGGATTTTTTTTTTCACTTTCTCCCCATTAATAACTGGGCTGAAGAGGCTGAGATTTCAGCAGGGTTGAGATTTTTGCTTTTTATGAGGAAAAAAAGAGAAAACTTTCCCCCAACCACCCCCACCCCCCAAGACTTCAAAGCTGCATTTTTAAAGCACCCCAAGGAGACACCGCTGGAGCGTCGGGACTGAAGGAGACCTGGGGATATTTTTTGCCTCATGGAGGTAAATTGGTGGAGCTGGGCATGGTCCTCACTCGTCCCAGGATGTGCCTGACCTGGGAGGAGGAGCAGGGAGAGCCTGGAAGGAGATCCCAGCAGCGCAGCAATCCAGGGATCCTACGGAAAGGGAGGAAAACCCACGGGGGGTTCACCCACAAAACCTGGCAGGACTCGAGCCCCTCCCTCCAGCCCGCTCTGCTTGGCACTGATTAGTGCCCAATTACTAATTACTAGCCTTCCCAGGGGTCCCAAAGCCTCCCTGGGGCTCCCAAAGCCTTCCTGGGGCTCCCAAACCTTCCCCGCGGGTCCCAAAACCTTCCCAGGGCTCCCAAAGCCTTCCTGGGGCTCCCAAAGCCTTCCAGGAGTTCCCAAAACCTCCCTGGGTGTCCCAGAGCCTTCCCAGGGCTCCCAAAGCCTTCCTGGGGCTCCCAAAGCCTTCCCGGAGTTCCCAAAACCTCTCTGGGTGTCCCAGAGCCTTCCCAGGGCTCCCAAAGCCTTTCTGGGGCTCCCAAAGTCTTCCCGGAGTTCCCAAAACCTCCCTGGGTGTCCCAAAGCCTTCCTGGGGCTCCCAAAGCCTTCCCAGGGTTCCCAAAACCTCCCTGGGTGTCCCAGAGCCTTCCCAGGGCTCCCAAAGCCTTCCTGGGGCTCCCAAAGCCTTCCCAGGGTTCCCAAAACCTCCCTCAGGTTTAATTAGAGCCGATTAAACGCCCTGCAGAGCCCAGCTCCTGCTCCATCCCACCCTCCCCGCTGGGCTGGGCTAGCCGGGATGATCCTCGTCGCCTCGGGGTGACACCGGGCACAGGAACGGCTCTGTCCCCTCCCCAGGAGGTGCCCCAGGGGTGACAGCTCCCTGCTGTCCCTTACCTGCTCCCTCCAGGTGCCAGAGCAGCAGGGAGCTCTCAGTAGACGCAGGATTTGGCCGGAGCCCTCTCCTTGTTCATGGGCTCCGTGTCGGGCTCCGAGGGCCGGGGGATGGCTCTGTACTTGCTGCTCGGGGACCTCTGAGGGGGGACACGACCCCGTCAGCCCCTCCCGAGGTGGGGAAGGGTCGGGACCCCTCCCAGCCAGAGCAGCAGCCGGTGCTGGACCATGCCCAAAGCTGGTGCCAGGGCTGGAGCTGCCCCTGCGGGAAAAGGGGAGGGGGCTCCGCAGGAAAAACCCCAAGAGTGGAGAGACCCCAGCCCAGCCCGGGATGTAGAGGGGGCTGCTGTAGACCCCCAACACCCCCGGTCAGCCTGAAATACCCCAGAGGGCAGAGGAGGGTGTGGTGACAGCAGGAACGACCTCCCATGGTGGCTGCAGTATCCCCAGGGCAGGATGCGCTCACATCCCAAATTTTGGGCGCCTGTCCTACCTCTGTCACCCCGACCCCATTCCCTGCGTCCTGTCCCTGCAGTTCCTGAGGAAAAGTCCCTCTCCAGCTTCCCTGGAGCCTCTGCAGATCCTGGAGGGGCTCTGGGGTCACAACATTCCCAACATTCCCAGCCTGGATCCGTCAGGGAGGGGCTCCAGTCCCTTTATCAACCTCGTGGTCTCCTCTGGGCTCACTCCAACAATTCCACGTCCCTTTCCCACCCTCTTTTCCCCCTCCAGCCCCTGCTCTTACCTTGACAGGAACGAATTCCTGCTGGATCAGCTTCTTGAACTCGCTCCTGCTGAAGGTCTCGGATTTCCTGCCCTTCCTGGCGTTGCCCTGGGAACTCTGCATCATGTCAGTGATGGCTTTGATGAGCCTGGACATGGCTCCAGTCCTGGAGAGGAGCAGAACCTGAGGCCACAGACACTGTCAGAGTGGCAGAAAAACCCCCATGTTCCCTTCCAAAAAATCCTGAACATCTCTTCCAAACAAATCCCGAACATCCCTCCCAAAAATCCCAAACATCCCTTCCAAAAATCCCAAACATCCCTTCCAAAAATCCCAAA